ATCCAATGCCAGATTATCAGTTTAACATTTGATGTGCGAGTAGAGGCTACTGTTAGTTCGTGCTACAAGCATACAGCAGTGTCAGGTAGGGTTGTACAGGGCAAAAGTTTATGAAGTGCTTCTTTTTTTCTGGAGAAACTCAGAAAACTGTACAGGAACTGTGGTCTCTAAAGAATTCAAGGAGTAAGAGGATATCTGTGAAATCAATAAAAGTCTATTCTACTTTTTGGTCACTGTTTCAAATATTTCAGATAAGCAAGGTAGGAGGAAAGATTTATTTTGGGCCATAGTTTTGGAGATTTCAGTCCATGATTGTGTGGCTCTATTGTTTCTAGGTCTATGGTGAGGCAGAGCACTAGGGCAGAAGGACATGGTGAAGAAGAGCTGCTTACATTATGGTGATCAGGAAGCAGACAGAGTAACACAGGAAGGCATCATGAACATGATAAACACTTCCAGGCCACTGGCCCATGAGCTCCTTCCTCCAACTAGACCCTCCTTCCTCTTTTCCCTTATTTCCTGGTAATGCCATTGCATTGAGAGTTTATTGAGGAATCAATGCACTGATTAGATCGAGGCCTTCATGATCTATTCACCTCCCAATGGTTTGATTCATCAGCTACTGACCAATCTTCAACATGTGGACCTTTAGAGGGATAATTCATATCCTAATCCTGACTAGCAGATGTTCCTGGTGCAGGAGAGCCTCAAAACAATATAAGTAGATGTTGCTGTGGAATATGGAATGTAGAACTGTGTGGTATTAGAGATAACACTAACTTTTTATTCACTTAACAATAGGTGTGGCTGTTTGCTCTTTGTAAGGCAGTGAAGATAAAATTAGCATGACACAGCATGACATGGCTTTTGACCTTTTGAAGTTCATATATTAAGTAGAGTGACAAGATTTGAGAACATAATTACATAGTTTATTATATTGTTTAAGAATATATTGAAAAGCAGTTTTGAAATGTCACAAGAGCACAGAAAAAGAGACATCTAGCTTAGTTAAGCATTTTAAAAAGTACTTCAAAGGAAATTTTATAGAGTATATAGACATTCCTGGAAAATATGTAGGAAAAGGGAAATACTACACTCAGACGGAGCAAACTTTTTAAATTTTTTAAAATGTATTTATCATTGTTTTTTGTGGATTAGTGTTTTGCCAGTATGTATGTTGTGTGCCCTGTCATGCAATTCTTGCAGAGACCAGAAGAGGGCATTAGATCTCTGGGTACTGGAGTTAGGGACAGTTGTTAGCTATTGTGTGAGTTCTGGGAACTGAACCCTGGTCCTTTGGAAGAGCAGCTAGTGCTCTTAACTACTGCGCCCCAGAGGGAGCAATCTTTGTGGAAATACATGGCAATATAGAGCAAGGTAACTGGGAATAAATGAATTAAATTGTAGAGTCTGGTGAATAAAACGTGGAAACTAGCAGAGAGGGCTCATTTACCGTAAGTTCTTCCAATCTGTTCTAGTTTGCTTTTAATAGCTGTGACAAAACACTCTGACCAGTACCAGTTTCCATAGGAAAGGGTTTATTTGGCTTACATCTCCTGGGTTCATCAGGGAGTCCAAGGTAGGAACTCAGGGCAGGAACCGGGAGGCAGGAACTGAAGCACAGGACATGGAGGAACACTGCTTACTGGCTTGCTCCCTTGGCCCATGCTCAGCCTGATTTCTTATACAATACAGAGCAACCTGCCCAGGGGTGGCACTGCCCACAGTGGGCTGGGCTCTCCCACATTGCTCAACAATCAAGAAAATGCCCCACAGGCCAGTCCAATGGAGGCAATTCCCCAATTGAGACTCCCTCTACCCAGGTGTGTCAATTTGACAACTAAAACTATCCAGCACAAAGTCCATATTAAAAATTTCAGTTTTATTGTAGTCAAATGAACATCTATTGAAGGGCATGTCACTAACAAATCTGACTTTAAGAATCGCTCTATTTTTTGGAGGTCATGCTAGGGTGTGGAGAAGGGTGAATTCCAGAAACTAGGAGGCTATTTCAGTACCAGGAAAGCAGGGATGGAAACTAAGAGTCATGATGGTGCTTGATGATTGAGTGGCTCCAGGGCGGGTCAACAGGAGCTGAAGTTCTTCCTTCATCAACCCTTAGCCAAACTTTTTCTTCTCTTTTCTTCTAGTTCCCTTTCAAATGCAAGCTTTGCTTGTGGCATTTCATCTAATATCTACAAGATAAAGTCACTTTTGTGTCTCTTAATTTTCCCATTCAATCACCTTGCTTCTAAGCAATGAAGAGACAGATTGAGGAGTCAGGATTCTCCTTAATATAGAAAGAGAAGCGTGTGGTCTTTATATTCCTGTCACCGGGCTAACCCCTGGATTTCTCATTTCTTGAACAAATGAATATATTGTGTGCCTATTGACTTTAACACTGCACAAGCTTCATTTGAATTCTAAGCTGCTGGTGCTGGATGTTTGACTCTGAGCAAGTCAGGCAATTTTCTCTTCTCTGGAGTTATTTATAGTGACCACAGGGGGATGATGAAATAGTTACATGGATAATATTGAAAAAGCTTTGGTGTAAATGATACACGGTAAGTTTGAAACAAGAGCTTGCTGCCTTTGAGTAGGGTCCTGCTTGGTTAAAATGAAAATTGTTGTGATTAAGTTTAATACATGGACATTTGTTTGGTGTATGAGCTAAGTTCAAAAATTTGTTCAGAGACCAGGCATTTGCAGTTGACCTTCCCTTGTGTGATGGTCATAATATAAATAAGTTAAAAAGGTTAATATCTAAATAACATTAAAAATTAGAATGGAGTTTTGACAAATCGCTTGTCATCCAAATATGATATTGGATATATTTTTCATTTAAAAACACTATTTTATTTATTATTTTTATTCTATGTGTGTAAGTGTATTGCCTGCATGTGTGTAAGTGCACCCACGTCATGCAATGCCCACAGAAGCCAGAAGAAGGCATAGGATTCCCCTGGAGCTGGACTTATAGATGGTTAACTGCCAGGTGGGTGCTGGGAATTGAACCCTGGTAATTCCCTGGTCCTCTGCAAGAGCAATCAGTGCTCTTAACTGCTAAGCCATCTCTCTAGCCCTGAGGCGCTATTTCTATAAAAATGGTAATCTGTACTTGTTCCTGAATAAGTATGATTTATACATAAGGAAACTACCTGTATCCCTTCATTGTGTTTATATTTTTGGTATGATTTTGTTTCTGTTTCCTGTGCATAAAGGGTCACCCTGAAAAGGTACATATGATGGGGTTGTGAGGAATTTTCCAGGTTGAGGAGATGGCTCAGTTCAAGTGTGAGGCCTTGAGTTTGGGTACCCACCCATCACTCACATAAAAGCCACGCATACACCACCTGTAAACTAAGCACTGGGAGACAGAGACAGTCAGATTTCAGGAACTTACTATCCAGCAAGTGTAGCCAAAAGAGTGACCTCTTTAAAGACTTATTTTCTCTTGTCTCATCATAATTATATATGCTGAATATTCTATAAACATGATATCTGTTACATAACGAGTGGATACTGCTTAATATTCTTACTTTCTATAATTAAAATTGCTTCTGTCTACCGGCTTTCACTTGCCCTGCCTCTTTTAGTAGTGACTTCTTAGAGCAAGTCTTACAAATGTGACATGATCATTGAGATTATTTCAGAACAATTTTCGTTGGTGTTTACCTTTGCTTCAAAGAAGACAGCTAGCTAATTTTAGTGTCAACCTGATTCTCAACTAGAGCAATTTCAGAATACTTTGTGCTAATGAATGTATGTACAGAAATCAAACAGTGACATGCTGAGTCAGTGAAAAGAGAAGAAACCTTATGCCTTTGAAAGTTTTTTACTGAGTTAACAGCTACTTCCATTCAATAACTGTGCTGCTAGAAAAATTCACCCTGACATTCACTTAAATCAAGATGCTTCTCTTTTTTAAGAAATCATAGTTTGTGTCAAGGTAACTTCAAGTTATGTTAGATAAGTGACTGGGAGTCAAATGAATTGATTAAATATGGTTTAATACTTTTCTGTTCTATAATAATTGTAAGCATTATTTCACAGAGGAAAGAAGGAATAGAATTATGTAACAGATCAATGCAATGATTGTAAACATCTCAGAATAATTATACCCCAAACTGAAAAGTGGGCCTTGTATTTGGAAATGGAAAGTGTCTAATAGAGTTTTATGATAAGATGAGGGACCAGCAGAAGTAAATGCTACCACAGCAATGGGAGAAGGGAGAGGTAGAAAGGAAATATACATAGGCAGCTTACTTTTCTGGTGAAAACTTTTCTTAGTGGTAGTTTCAGGAACAGATAAGATGAGAATATTGTATAAAAATGCTTCTATATTTATGAGCTAAATGGAAGAAAGAGAATTTTAACCGGGCCACATAGCATAAACTTCCAGCTGGCATTTGATGTTTAGTAAGAGGAAAACAAGGGGTTAAGCCAATTTCTCTTTGACTATAAAGTCCATGTGTTTCGCTACCATTACATCCATTCATTTAATGTCATTTTTTGTGGGTGTCTAAATATTTTTATGACTGATTTTTATACATTAGGACATAGTACTCACCTTATAGTGGTTTTAGAAATGCTTACTAAAATTCATGTTGAAAAAAGGAATCAAAGCTATCTTGGAATATGAATGTCACGATTTTCCAGTGCAACATTTGTTTGCAACTGCCTTGTTTACTAAGGCACCCGCAGTAAACTCTGTTAAAGAATATCCTAACTCCTGCCCTAAATATCTGCCTCTGCAAATAAATCCTCAGAAGGAATCACTTCCTTTGGTGGTCTTAGGGCATATATGCACCCGTGCTGATAGTCACATAGGCTGTAACTTACCCGCCCCCCCCCATACTGTGACAGTTAAAGAATAACATAGGGAAACTTACAAAAAGTGTGAAAGAACTAGACTGGGGGTTTAAGTTCTTAGGGAAGACATTCCACTTCAGTGCACCACTATGAATAAACTTTCCCAATTTCTTCCCATGAATTTCTTGGTGCCTTCTTTGTAGCTGGTACTGTGCTTCAGTTTCCCATAACACCGTTGCATCGTTCCTGCCAAACCCACAGATGAAGAGTAAGAAGAGAGAAAGGGAGAAAACTAGAGGTAAGCCTGGTGACTAGATAGGTGCCTCTAGGACTTCAGAAAGGATAGGAAGGTGAAAATACAGAAAAAAGACAGGTGAAAAACTTTATCTCTTATATTGTTCTTTCAATTTATTGTTTATTTGTTGTTTCTCATTCATTTTTCTTCAAAGCTGGTTTTTGGCCTATTGACTATGGAAGGAACAGAACTAAACTTCAAATGAATGGAATCCCCCTAGTTTATGTAACTCATGCAGGACTTTGTCTTGGGAAAACTGTATGTTACATTCCTGATTAGAATTAAATTTCTAAATCAAATGCTTCCATCGAAATGATCATTTTACTATGATTCAATAAAATTAATATATTATATTCTTAAACATTTGTATTTCACATTTCATTATTAATAATACTACATTCTAATATAAGTAAGTGAATATGACTTCTAGTTATGAAGGAACAACATCACCAAATTTATTGCACGCATCTGAAACACCTAAAAAACCTGGACAGAAATTTGTAAATAAAACCCCTTTTTAGACATCTTCCTATCAGCAGTCCAAAACTCAGGTCTAATAGAAGACAAGGAAACAGAATATTCCTCGGCACCCCGCTCCAGGATCCAGACCTACTCTGCTGAATTCACAGTTTTGACACTGCTGCAGAGGAGAGCATCCTGAGAAGAGTTGGAAGTCTTCATGACTTGGAAACAGAAATAGAAGATTTTCCCACACAAACTAAAAGCAGAGATAACTCATTGCCAGCAAATTTTTCCATGAGAGTTCTTAAATAAAGTTTTCAAGATGAAGGAAAGTTGTAACAGAAATTGGGTCTACATAAATGAATGTATAAAAATCAGGAAAATCTAAATGTGTAAACATAGATTATTTTTTCAGTTAAAACACTTTAAAAGTTATTGACAGTTTATTAAAAAGAATTAATGCATTGTGGAGCTTACAAGATAAGTAGTAATAAAATATGTAATGGAGTAAGGTGTGGATACAGAAATAAGGGCAAATTGTATATTCTGTCTCTATTTGAAGAGGAGTAGTATCACTTGAAGGAAGACTGATAAGCTTTAGAAGCTTATATTTTAAAACTTAGAAAAATGCCTAACGAAAACAACAAAAATATGTAATGATCCAATGGTAAAGATTAATAGAAATTATAAGAGCTATAAAATCATAAAAGAAGGAGTAATATAAACAAAATAAATACTAATAAAGTAGAAAGTAACAAAATCATAGCACTAGTTGAATTAAATGCAAATGTACTGCATTTTCAAAACAAGAGAATTTCAAAGTGGAAAAAAATACATAGCTACAATAAAGCCATTAAAAAGACATAAATTAAAGTTCAAGGATGGAAAAATATGTGATAGGAACTCCTGGCATAAGAAATCTGAAGTAATTTTTACAATATGACAAAATGAATTTTAGGATAGGGCTGAATGTGTTGGTGGACACATGTAATCCAGTTACTTTCTATGACTGAGGCAGGAGCATCATGAGTTTGAGGACAGTATGAGCTGCATAGTAAAACCCTATCTCAAAACTGAAATAAAAACTAATCAGAATAAGAGATATCATCATAGAGATGAACATTCTGTAATGTGAAGGGGATCGATACATCAAGAAGACATACAATCTTAAGTGTGTAGACAGACGGCAATGGAACTTTATAATAGAGCAAGAAGTAACAGAACTGGAAGAAGAAACAGGCAACATTTTCATACTCCATTCTCTTTTCACAGTAATTGATAGTTTCCTAGATTACCTTGTTTCCTGATAATATATTGTACATGAGTCCTACAACTAGAATTTAGTTAATATCTTCTTAGAATTAGAGTAATCCCTTTGGGTAGGGGAAGGGAGGTGGCAGGGGATGATCAAAGAAGTAAAACATCATTATCATAATGTCAAAAGCATCTGATCTACAGAAGTTAAAAAACATCAATTGCTAGCCTTAATTCCTGGCTTGAGCTATTGATGAAATCTCTTTACTTTTCCTTCACGTTCCATATCATGGTTTTGGAGAAAGATGGTGGGTTATCAGCTTTTGTTTTCTTTCTTATGTATAAAATGTTCCATGTTTCTTTTAGGTGCTACACTATTTTATAACATAATAGTTATTTCTATAATTATATTTTCATTTAGTTCAAAATATGTTTTAGGAGCTGTAGCTGTGGCTTAGTGAGTAAGCTAAGTCACTTGCGTAAGCTACTTGCGTAGCTTTCAAATACTTTTTATTCTCGAGTCATCTGATTTGACTCATGTTATTCAAATGTGTGTCATTTAATTCAAAATATTTGATTTTCCAGCTAAATTTCTCCTACTAGTTCCTAGTTTAATTCTATAATCTACAAATACACATCACATTGTTTCTACTCTTTTAAACTTACGGTGTATTTTATGTCCTCCAACATAGTTTATCCTGGCGATGCTTCCATGTGAACTTGAGAAGAATGAAAATTCAGCTGATTTTGAAGAAAGGATTCCACAGCTGTCAATTAGATGGAGATCATTGATGGTGCTGTTCAAGTCCGCTCCATCCTTATTGATTTTCTGTCCACTTCACCTATCAGTTATAGACAAGGAGGGTGTTTTAATCTGCAGCTATCATCATGAACTTGCTTATTTTTTCTTTTAGCCTTACCAGTTTTTGTTTCATGCATTTGGTGTCCTCTTGTTTGGTGCAAAACCCCATAATTGCTGTGCCTTCCTGAAGACCTGATTTCTTCAGTGTTATGCTCCGTCCCTTTTAGTGCTCATAATTTTATTCATTTTCAAGTCTGTTTTGTCTGAAATTAAAATTTCCTTTTCATTTTTCTTTTGATTTTATTTATATCATCTATTCTACTTCTGCCTTCCTTTACGTTGATCTTAAGAGAATCTTTATGTTTGAAATGGGTTTATTTCATAATGCAAATGGTTGGCTTTTTCAATTATGAAAAATTGTATCTTTTAATTGATATATTTAGAATGTTCCCATTTAAAGTTATTAGGAATAGGCATGAAATGTAATCCACTGTATTTTCAAGTCTATTGCTTCTTTTCAGTTCCTCTTTCTAGGTTCTCTCATTTTGAGAATTTTATGTATTTACATTTTATTTATTCATATTACCTGTTATATATATTGTGTTATTTGCCTTAGACTTTTTAGGATATAGTTTTGAGTAATACACATCTGCTTTGAAGTAGCATTGGTTTGCTTTCAGCTGTGATGCAAATAATTGAAAACTAGTTCTTTGCTCTAAACTTTAGTCATTTTGTCCATACATATGTGACAGTCACTCAAAAAAAATTTAACATTTGTTTTAAATAAACCTTTTTTTGGATCAATTAAAAATGAGAAAAAAATGAATGCTGGGCATGGTAGCATACATCCTTAGTACCACCACTCTGGACGTAGAGGCAGAAGGAGCTACATAGAAAATTCCAGGCCACCTGGAGCTACAGAAAGACCCTGTTCTCAAAAAGACCAAAAAACAAAAACAGAAACCAAAACAAAGAAAATAAAACAAATCTTAAATATCATTAAATATCTTCCCTTCATTTATTTGTTCCTTCTCTGATGCTCATTCATTCTTTCTTTTCCTTCCTTTCTTTCCTCTTACCCCAGTTTCTTCCTTTAGATTCCACTTTCTGACCTAATTACATTCTTATTAAAAAGCATTGAGAGAGACAAGTAAGGCAGGTCTATGAGTAATAAACTTTCATATTTTGTTTGCCTGGGAAAGGATTACTGAGCACCTCGAGGGTCTGTCTATGGTCAGACAACCTGATTCTGATATAAATATCTGGCATGGGTCAAGATGGCTGATATTGGACATCTGGAGGGTAGGGGAAGCCATAAGTCAGCACCAAATGGCTGACTCTGGATGTCTGGGGAGCCAAAAGCTGAATAGTGTTGCAATTTGTAGTAGAACTATTCCTAGCAAAATGCCACATTTGTGTAATTCTATATAAATATGACACTGAGGTCAGGGGCCTTCACTTTTGCTAGCCTGCCTGTATGTGCCTGTAAGCCTCTATGCCTATCTCTAGGCAACCTGTTTGCCAGCCTATAGGTGTACCTGTGCCTGCCTATGTTGGGCATGTGTGTGCTGGCATGTGACTGCTAGTGGCCTGTATGCTGATAAGGTGTGTATTAATCTTATCTATGAATCTTGGCAAGCTTTTCAACCTTTTGGTTACTGTGACTCTGCCTGTTACTGCCTTCGACTCTTGGATTCACAATTTCTCTTTCATAAGCTTAGAATAACTAATGGATATGGAACTGTAGGTTGAATTATCCTTTTCTCTGAACATTTTCTTGTTTTCCTCCATTTCTTCATGTTTGTTTGTTTCAGAGAAGTTTGCTGTTACTCTTTAGCTTGTCCATCTGCTTCCTTACACCCCATAGACTTCTTACAACGGGTTCTAGGTTTTGGTGTTCTACTGTTTGTGTGTGACACAACTCTGTCATCTTGGGTATTTATCTACATGGTGGTCTCTATTTCCTACTCTGTGGCCTGAGGTCATCATTAATTTTAGAAAGTTCACCCCTATGCTGCTTATGAGATTTTCTTCAGTTCTCTTTACTTTTTTTCAGTCCAGCTTTTCAGACACTTGTATATTCCATCTTCTAAATTTTTCTTAAAATTCTTACTATTTTCACTTTTTTTCCTTACTCTCCTGACAGTTTTATTGGAAATTTCTATTTTTACATTTATTTTTTCGTACTTCTCAAAAATATTTTATTCATTATTTTATGTGTATAAGTGTATTGCATGCATATGTATAAGTGCATCCATGTTGTGCAATGCTTGCAGAGGTCAGAAGAAGGGGTCAGTGTCCTGGAACTGGAGTTATGGACAGTTGTTAGCCACCATGTATGGGTGCTGGGAATTGAACCCTAGTTCTCTGCAAGAGCAGTCAAGTGCTCTTAGCTACTGAGCCATCTCTCAAAGTCCCTACTTTTTTGTGGTACTGGGATTGACCTCACAGATGCTAGCTAGAGAAGTACTCTGTCCTTGTGCTGGATCCTGACCTTTATTGCTATATGTCTGACCACCCACTGCTTCCTTAGCCACTTTAAGTCTACCGATGAATTCATCATAGTAGTAGTTCATTTGGAGATGAGAGCTAGGGTTTTATTTTATTACAGTATTTCCCTTTGATTCCCACTTCAGATTTCACACCTTTCCATATAGCATTCAATTTTTAGTACACATTTTCCTTTTCTTTCAATAGTACCTTTAATGTGTTTGTTATTGTAATCTTATGTTCTCTTTCTGATAATTGTGACATATATCTCAAAACTGGGTCTCAATCTTTGCTTTGCTTTTGAACTTCAATATATTGTGTTGTCTTGGTGTGACTTAAATTTTTTTTGTTGTTGTTGAAGGATGCATGTATTCTTTGTGGTTAGCTGAATTAAGGTAAGCAGGCCTGTAGCAGGAGAATTTATATTAATGTGACAATGTGTTTGGTTGTGTTAAGTTTGTTACTGTGTGTACTAGATTTTTCAAATATCCCTAGAATCCTTGTTTCTCTTCTTGGAACTTTTTGAGATCCGCTCTTCAGAGAGCACATGTATGCTGCAGCTCTTCAGCTAAAATCCACTGTTTTATGTTGGAACTTGTTGGTAGAGAAATAAGGTATTGGAGGGGAGAGACATCTTGTAAGCTTAATAAGCCTCTTTGTTAGTAAGCCTTTGTGTGGTCTGTGAACATCACAAGCATTTCTTCCTATGTAATGCAGAGGTAATGATACTTGACTTATAACCAGCCTCATTCTTCCACATCATATTTTCCATAAAATATCTGCACAGGTAGCTATGCTGGCCCCAAACAATATAGATGTACATGAGACACTAAATTATATAACTCTGTGCTCTTATCAGGCGCTATGGTCAGCCTCATATATATTTACTTATTTCTTCTTTATAAAGGCCTATGCTATTAATATTTAAAAATTACAATTTAGGAAACCAAGAGAGATGTATTAAATACCTTGTCCAGGGTCAATCCCTAATAAATGTCAGACATTTTGTGGTATAGAAAACTATGTCTTTCAGAATTTTTAATTTATCTAGATAAGTGTTGGACAAATGAGGCTTTCTTTTGCCAGATAAAAGCATGATTCTAGCTCACTATCATTTTTTCATGCCACTATGGATGGTAATAGTGGAGTGTTTCTACAACCACTTAGTACATTGCTTATCAGCCATTTCTCTGATTGCTACTCGACAGCAAGTCACTACTTCTTACTTGTGAATGTTTTCATTTGTTTAGTGATTCCCAAATTTATATTCATCCAATGCCCATGGTTGAGTAATAATCTAGTCTTCCCTCTGAAATGCATTAGCTAGATGGATCTGAAATATTTCTGATGAAAATAGGTTCCATTTTCTGAGGAGTCTGGTGGAGGAAATAATAGCATTTAATTAAATACTCTGAGGACATGGGCTGAGCTTCGTTGATTTAGTCACCAATTTCCTTTAGTGTTTGATTTTGAAAACATAGTTATAACTATTACATTTCCAACAAGGAGCAAAATATTGAATTTTCACTGCTGGGATGGTGTCACAATTTGGGGTTAGTACTTTTGTAAATGTTTTGAATAATGCCTCAATTTCAAACAGCTTATATATAAATGCTTTATGTATTTATTGACATAATCAGACATATCTTAGGTTTCAGAGTAAAAAGTTGTTTTACCAAGCTGCCAAGTACTTTTTCAATGTGGCTGCGTGGCACTGACCCTTATTATATAAGTTTTAAGATTCCATGAAATTTCACATGAAAATTAAGCTGATAGTGAGGAAATATCCTTAAGAAGTTTCAATTCTGATTGGGGTTTATTTTACTGCTTTACTCTACTTATACATGAGAATTTGATTTATTTAATGTACATTTTTAAAAAGGTACTCTGGTTGACCAAACAATTATAGCATCCCTCATTATTACTTTATTCTCTACTTGCAGATTTTTACATACCAAAAATTTGATGTTTTCCATTAATATTAAGGGACTTTTTATGTAATAATGCTAATGAAAAAAGATAGTAAATTATACAGTCTTTTAAATTTTATGTGGAGAATTTATGAAAGGCTTTAGACTCTAAAGTATCTATCATTGAAGGACGTCCTCAAGGCCCCTTATATCATTTCTGGTATGTATATTCAGTCACTAAAATTAAAACGTACATAATAAAAATAACATATAAACAAAAGAATAGATAAACATCACTGTGAACTTTTGAGTCTGTAACTTCTTTCAACACTCAAGCACAGAAGATGTTGTACAAAATCAGCACAGTGAAAATATGGAAATACGACTTTCAAAGTCAGAAATAAAGTTGATTTCTTTTTCATTCATCTAAGAGTACTTATTTAAAGAAAATTATTCTGAGATTTAACAGGTGTTTATATTTCTTACATATAAAATTATGTAGCTAAGCACCTGGTGACATCAGTTGAAAGGCTTAGATATCAGTGTTAAAGGCTTTGGAATTGATTGTCCTTTCCTCGTGACTGTTGAAGCCTCAGAAGTTGAATCCAGGCTGAAGAGATTCCATGAAAGGGAAGAGAGGGGCAGGAGCAGCAGAAGCCCTGGAGCAGACAGGAGAGGAAGACATGATCATGGTGGCACAGCTGTGAGCCACCAAAACCCACAGCCAGGGTTAGCCCTGGTGAATATTCCATCAGAGTCACAAACCCAGATGCACACATGGGTGTCTATTTTTACAAGACAATGTCAGTAAAAATCCAAGATCCCTATGTGTCTACTTTTTTCTTTGAGACAGTGTCTTCCTGTAGTTTCAGCTGGCCTGGAACTTGCTTTG